TCAGATTTTACTACTGTATCATCTTCAATTCCGTCATGGTCAATGTCAGGTGCTGGTGGAGCATCGGGGAGGTTAACATCATTCTGAGAAGGCGAGAGTCGATGCGGTGAAGAATCTCCTGCCATCTTGATGCCCATGTTGACTAGTTGTCAGAAGAAAGTGGTTTGTACACAAGTTGGAAACATTTACTCTGTTCACAATCATGTGGCAGATCAAGGCGCGTAATTGAACGCGTTCCAGACGCGTTTGATGGCCGTTAATGCCGTGTCACGACTAGCTCATTGTGTCACGTGATATCGCCATATTCGGCTCACTGTATTAAACTCGCTCTAACCATTCGCTCCAGATGATATTGTACAGACTTTGCGACATGGGTGATAGAAGAATTCTCAGAAGAGGCTTGGAGATTAATGGAGCATTCTTTCATTTTGGTGGTAATATGGAGTGTAATTTCCCTAGTGAGATCGATATCAAGATCATTCTAACCTAATCACCAAAATATCATCAGGGGGCCCTCGTGGCACATGCCGGCGTTCAAGGTGGCGGATATAGAGAAACGAAAAAAGGGTATTTATACATCAAGGTAAATTCTCTTTCACTTCATTGGCATCCGAGAACGGCCCAGAATCATGTTTGACCAGCTCTGGCCGCAAGGTCGGACTGTTGACCTTCATGTGCTCAGGATTTCTGGCCCGGTTGATAGCATCCTCAATCACAGCACTCAGCGTGGCGCTACCAGTGTGACGGTGTGTTGGCCCGCTCGAAGAGCCTTCTTTAGAGCCGTCCAGAGAGAGAATAGCGCTCACGGATGATGACCTTGCTGAGTGATTTGCGGCAAAGGGCTGCCTCGGTATTGCGAGAGGTGAGATCGGTGAGTCATCCAGGACGGTAATGGGAGTTGTGGTGGCTGGAGAAGCCACAACTTCCTTCTCGTCCACGAAAAAAGGAATGCTCTCCTTAGAGCTTGCTGCAGTGCCGCTCTTTCGTGCAGCTTCTTTAGCCAGATTTGCGAGCGTAGGGACTCTAGCCGCCGGGTTGGCTTTCTTGACCTCAATAGGCCGTGCAGTTACATTTCTCGCGACAATGGAGCTGTTACTGCTTCCCATTTTGGGCATCTGTGGAATTTGTGGAGTTCTCGTGCTAGGTGTTGAGGATGTTCCTGGCGTGTTTGAGCCGGATTTGACACTGACAACATTGGCTTGTGCTCGGAAGGCCTGCTGAGCTGGTATTGGTGGGACAATAGCATCGCTTCGGTAAATAGTTGTCGCCACGCTATTGCGAGCCAGACTAGGCGCAAGACTGATTCTCGGGTCAATAGAAGAAGTATCTGACCAGGTAGAATCTCTCAGGTCCTTCGGCATGAAGAAATGCTGCTCCAGCTGGGGTGATGAGGTGGAAGAGTGGGAGGCCATCCCACCAGGAATCGAGGGTACAGGCGGAATCATCAATCCCGGTGAGTCTGGGGGTGACCGGACGGTGACCCCTGGAATGTAGGCGATCTGAATGACATTTGAGGCTCGCGTAAATACCGTGGAGGCTATCGAATGGGCAGATCTGGTGGACTGACGGTCGGCGCGGTGAAGGGTGGATTGGTCTCTCTTTTCTGGAGGATCCCAAGCAATAGCCTGCCGTCTCTTGCGCATGCGAAACCGGTAGACTAAATAGACGATGGCAACCAGGAGGATAACACCACCGACAACACCTCCGACGATACCGCCAACCGGTGTGGACTTTTTGGGCGCCGATTGTCCGGGCAGAGATCCGATTTTCACGCACGTCGTGGATGCGCAGGAGTCGCATGACTGAGCAGTCAAGGAGCACGTCTCATCCACGCCGCATGCCGGGCAGCTCGGAGGATCAGGGGGGCATTGGACACAGCGCCGAAATAACTGGTGCGCAGGAGACTCGAAAACTGGACTCGATATCAGCTTGATTCAAATATCTCAGTGGGGGGTGCATACGTTTGTTCGACGCCATTGCGGCGTCGTTTTCTGCGAAGGTTCAAATGTTTATCTCCCACAATAGCAGAGCTACGGGTGAATGGCGCCTGGCGAATTGGTCGTATTGATCCCGCGTAAAATTTCTTCTTGTGACTCGTGAAATATCTGCTGTCGTAGCTTTTCCACCTCCACCCTAATGCCTTTTTACAGATATCAGGTTGACACAACGTCAGAGGATGCGATACTGAAATGATTATGAATAATGCCGAACGACTGTGGATCAACCACGAGTTCTTGGACTGACGAAAAGCAAGAGTGCGTGGTCGAAAGAAAGCGACTGGACAGTGATGGGCTCCCTGGCCGAAAACAGACAAAAGAATGTGGGACGAGACAACGTCTCTTAAAACATGCCAAAATCCAACTTGAAAAGGACTGAATCGAAGTAGGTATGAAAGACTGAAGGAGCTCGGTGCGAGGGACGAAGAGGAGTCAGAGAGCAATTCAATCGCGGATGAGTTGGGCCAGCAGATCTCTTGTTCTCGACCCTCCAGCCAGGTCCAGCACAGAGGTATGTGGTGGAGAGGATGGAGACAGCCAAAAGAAACGAGCGGAAAGGCACAAGCAAATGGGCTCACTGCGGCGACTGGACATTGACTGAGGCTCGAGGGGGACGGGCAGAAGGCGATGGTGACTGACGGGCGAGTGCGAGATGAAGGGGCATTGTCCACGAAGCCTCGGGGCGGTGGACCCCAACCACGGATGGCTACGGTTGGCTCGCAGTCTCCCTAGGCCTCGCTCAAAGAAAGCTTGGTTCGCCTACTACCTGCAAGGGGCGCCCGCAAAATTTCTCCTTCAAACAAGCTGCTGCAAGGGTCTGCGGTCTGAGCAGCTCGGCAGGCCTGAGAAGCTATTGAAAATCTCCTGACCAGCCATTGACTTCCTTCCAATCAGACGTCAACGCGGCCCCAAGCGCTTCATCAGCCCAGCAGTGAGCAGAAATCCTTCGCAAACTGGTGACCGACCCGACTATGATGCAATCTCGGTGCTCCATACATTCCATGTACTTATGGCGATGCGAATCGACACGCAAGGAGTTTGGGTTTTGTGCCCGCCAAAATGAATCCCTAACTAAGTTGCACATCGTCCAGGGCTGTGCACGCTGCAAACAGACATTTGACCCGTTGTGGAAAGTGATCAGCCATCGAGATGTTGCAGCAGATCCAAGTCACACACATATGGTTTCATCGAGCGCAGTGCGCACCGGTCAACGACACAAAGGACAAACCCTAGAGAACAGTTCTAAGCATTTCTTCTCTTCTTCGAATCTCAATAACACCTGAACATGAACCTCGTATAGAGAGAGGGAAAGAAAAAGATAATCAACATGCTCGGTACTCTGTGCACTTTTTAGGTGTGCCTACGATCCACATCCACTCGAGAATAGGGGCAGCAACGAGTTCCGGCCAGCTCACTATGACAACGCAGCAACGCTGGTGATGATAGTTTAATCTCTGCACATTGAGGATCATCATGGTCGCATTGAAATGGTTTGTTCGTCTCTCACCTGAGCACCGCAGATGTCTCCTGCACAGAGTAATAATACCCTAATGCTATGTGCTCCAAATCCGGATGGGCGCAGTGCCACCTGTGGCGCAAGCCCTTTGCTTGTTACAGATCACAGGTCTAAATATGGGAACACACTGTTTAAGTCAAGGTCTTACTCTGTGGCGCCCAAATGCATATTCTACGCGAGCGATGTCAGAGTCGGTTGAACCGTTTACGAATCAGCTGAATACAAGGCAGCAGGCTCAGGACATGCGGTGATCATCCTCATGACCCGGTAAGTCGACTCGAATAGAAGTCGCGAACTCGACGCATGCAGCGAACAATTCTTTCTAGTCCCCTTGGAAGCCATTAGAACGGAAACTGCGGGGGAATGGAATTTGGTCCAAACCTAGGTAGGGAGAGGGCCCGCGCGGACGCCACCATCGTTTACGTGGGCAAACTCTTGATGGGATCCACTTGTTCGTCACCGGTGTTTCATCGTTGAGATCCAAGATTCGATCCGCTCAGGGTTTTTGGGGGGGGGGGGGAATGGAGGATGAAGGATGGGGGTATACCACCTTCTTGTATGTGTTGCTGTTTGATCTCGTCGGACAGTCACCGTGCTGTATCACTATGTACAGAGAGACACATTCTATCTGAGGGCATCCCTGGCTAGGTAAGCAGCAGGAAACTCGTTGCGGTCCAGCTGAAAGTCTTTGTCGCTGGGAAGGTGTCAGGGATTCGTTTAGCCCAGAAACCCAAGCAATATGCTTAGTGCGTGCGCAGCTAGTTAGGCGAGCACTCTGCGCCTGAGACTGGCCTTCTGGGCACAGTGACCACCTGCCAATATCCCAGCAGTATCCGGTAGGTACAGTAGCACCAGCGCCCCCAGTACTTAGTGCCATGCCTGTCGTCAGCGCCTTGCTCCCATTTCCCTGCGTCCGCAGCCCGATTCGCCTCTTTCAGCTCAGGGGATCTTTTAGTCCGTTTATAACCTGGCAAAAAAGGGCTGAGCTGCTTTTCAGCAGGCTGTGCGGGCGGGTGTAACTGATCAGAAACCCAAAAAAACCGAAACACACCTCTTTGTCCCTCCATCTTGCTGGTTATTTCTCCATGAAAATCTTGTAAACGTCCTAATCCGATCGCAGTCGACACCTCTTGGTTCTGATCCTTTGTTCTCTCCTTTGAGATCTCCAACTTACGTTCCTTTTCCTTTTTGTCTCCGCATTTGATCCTCCATATCACCTAGTAATTCACATTTCGTCCTCCCTCTGACAGCCCGCATCAGCCATCAGCGCACTTATCCATCAGCAACTATCTTCCCTCTGACCAGCCCTGGCGGCTGTCAGTCGTACACACGGCCATCGTCTCACTTAGCCGGTGACTTATCTCCTATCACTCGTTGCTCGCTGGATCACCAACATATCTGCGGTGGTGTCGGGTCTCAGCGCTCGAACCGCCTTGCCTAACACAACAACCACCTTTCCAATCGAGCCACGCTTCAGCTTCAGTGCCATGGCAAACCAATATCCTGCCGGTTATGACAACGGCCACCCACTCAATGACATACCACCCACAAATGTACGTGTTTCGAGACCTCAACGCTACGAGACAAGCCGGACTAACCTTGTGTAGGCTTACAGACGAACGGAACAGCATTCAGACGACGAAGCAGAGCATTCCTTACTACACCAGAACGCCGCCTATCAATCCCACTATGACGACCCCCATTCTCGCCCATTGACCCCAGGACAAGAGTCGATCTATACTCTGAATGAGACGTACGAAGGTGGAGACAAATCAAAAGTCCCGGTTACTGGGTATAACCCTCAACACACTCAGGCCTATGGGCGTGATGGGGGCTACGGTTTGAGCAACACGCAGGCCGGGTTCGCGACTCCTGGGTACCCTGACCCAACCGAGAGAAGTGCCTCGACCGAAGCATGGCAACAAAGACAGGCTCCCGGTTTCGGCTCAGTCAAACGCTACGCCACCAGAAAAGTCAAGGTGGTCAACAGTGTCCTGAGTATTGACTATCCAGTGCCCAGTGCCATCCAAAATGCCATTCAGGCCAAATACCGGACCGACCTGGAAGGGGGCAGCGAGGAGTTTACACACATGCGCTACACGGCCGCGACCTGTGACCCCGATGATTTCACCCTGAAGAATGGCTACAACCTGCGCCCCGCCATGTACAACCGTCACACTGAGCTTCTCATCGCCATTACCGCCTACAACGAGGACAAGGTCTTGACTGCCCGCACATTACACGGCGTAATGCAGAATATCCGTGACATTGTCAACTTGAAGAAATCCGAGTTCTGGAACAAGGGCGGACCTGCCTGGCAGAAAATTGTCGTGTGTCTAGTTTTCGACGGAATCGACCCTTGCGACAAGAATACGTTGGATGTTCTTGCTACTGTCGGTGTGTACCAAGACGGGGTCATGAAGAAGGACGTTGATGGAAAGGAGACCGTGGTTCATATCTTCGAATACACTACCCAGCTCTCAGTGACGGCTAATCAGCAGCTAATTCGACCCAACGACAACGACCCCACTTCCCTCCCTCCAGTGCAGATGATGTTCTGCCTGAAGCAAAAGAACAGCAAGAAGATTAACTCCCACCGATGGCTGTTTAACGCATTTGGTCGCATCCTGAACCCCGAGATTTGCATTCTCCTCGATGCCGGCACAAAGCCCGGTTCAAAGGCTATCATGGCTCTGTGGGAAGCTTTCTACAACGACAAGGACCTCGGAGGCGCCTGCGGTGAGATTCATGCCATGTTGGGTCGCGGAGGAGTCTTCGGCCGGAAGCTCCTGAATCCCCTTGTCGCCGCGCAAAACTTCGAGTACAAGATCAGTAACATCTTGGATAAGCCGTTGGAGAGTTCCTTTGGCTACGTCAGTGTGTTGCCCGGTGCTTTCTCAGCGTACCGTTTCCGAGCGATCATGGGTCGTCCTCTGGAACAGTATTTCCACGGTGATCACACCCTTTCGAAACGACTTGGTAAGAAGGGTATCGAAGGAATGAACATTTTCAAGAAGAACATGTTCTTGGCCGAGGACCGTATCTTGTGTTTTGAGTTGGTCGCGAAAGCAGGCTCAAAATGGCACCTTACCTACGTCAAGGCCTCGAAAGCCGAAACCGATGTGCCTGAAGGTGCTGCGGAATTTATTGGTCAACGTCGACGTTGGCTCAACGGGTCCTTTGCCGCCTCCATCTACTCCCTCATGCACTTCTCCCGCATGTACAAATCCGGCCACAACATCATCCGAATGATCTTCTTTCACATCCAAATGATATACAACATTGTCTCGGTTGTCCTTTCCTGGTTCTCACTCGCGGCATTCTGGCTGACCACCAAAATTCTCATGGATCTGGTCGGTCAGCCCAGCAGTAACAACAACAACCATGCTTTTCCATTCGGCAACAGTGCGACCCCGATCATCAACACGATCCTACAGTACACTTACCTGGCTTTCCTTCTTTTGCAATTCATCCTCGCCTTGGGGAATCGTCCCAAGGGTTCCAAAGTCGCTTATGTTATCTCATTCTGCGTCTTCGCTGTCATTCAGCTCTATGTGATTGTCTTATCCATGTACTTGGTGATTCGGGCATTCACATCGAAGGACGGCACCGACATCGTCACCAATGAGGGCGCCAATGAGTTCATCAAATCTTTCTTCTCCTCGACCGGACCAGGTATTGTTATCATCGCACTGGCTGCTACCTTCGGATTGTACTTTGTGGCCTCCTTCCTGTACATGGATCCTTGGCACATGTTCACCTCTTTCATCCAGTATCTGCTCCTCATGCCATCCTTCATCAACATCCTCATGATCTATGCTTTTAGCAATTGGCATGATGTCTCCTGGGGAACCAAAGGTGCGGACAAAGCGGACGTGTTGCCTTCGGCTCAAACCAAGAAGGACGAGAAAGGCAAGGCAACCGTGGTGGAAGAGGTGGACAGACCCCAAGCCGATATCGACTCTCAGTTCGAGGCCACGGTCCGACGTGCTTTGGCGCCGTACGTGCCACCGGTGGAGAAGGAAGACAAAACCTTGGAAGACTCGTACAAGAACTTCCGAACTCGACTCGTGGCAACGTGGATCTTTTCGAATGCCTTGCTTTCGGTTATCATTACTAGTGATAGTGTCGACAACTTCGGGTTTACTGTAAGTACCATTCCGCGTCTCAATACTGGGCCTGACTAACCCCTCGAAAAGTCTAGGGCGACAAGTCGAAGCACTCACTTTTTCCAAGCGCTCTTGTGGACAACGGCAGCTCTTTCCGTTGTTCGCTTCACCGGATGTTGTTGGTTCCTCGGCAAGACCGGTCTGCTCTGCTGTTTCAATAGGAGATGATTGTATCCCAGATGGTAACGGTTGGATCAAGGTCGGCATCATGGGGAGTTCCAAGCATATTAGGATATTTTCAAGGAGTGAGATCAATCTCCTTTACTACCGAAGTTGGCGGAGACACAACTTCCTGTCTATTTAGCAATGAATCCGCCATAAAATGGTGTTGAAGTTGGGATTAAATACATGTAAAAAAGTTTTGCCCTCTCTATATTCGGCGGGTCTTCTCACAAGAGGCGAGGCCGCGGATACCACCTGCGTCATGTGAGGCGCCCAAATCAATGTTACCAAGTACCGCTCCCCGATGTGTAATCCGGTCTTCATCTCTCACTTTCTCTGAAACTTCGATAAATTGCCATCTATACAATCTACACTATTTGTAAATTTTCCTGGTGGATCCCCCTCGCTCCTGGTGCTCGTATTTTCCCACTGCCTAGGATCAAACCCTTTGCCGACCAACTGTCAGGCTGCGCCCTACCCTCATTGCTCCTTCTGTCACCTCTACAACTCATTTATCGGACTCGCCCGCCTCTGTCGACAAATTCTCGTCTCTCACGCTTTTCATCACCTCCTTAGAATCTCTCTAGAAGCAAATATTCCCAAAACAGTTCGGTCGCCCTGTGGTGACGACGACTCACCGGCAAGATGATGAAAATATGGTCGATGGTATGAGTGGGTTCTAGGTGCTTGTTGCGCGTGACTGATGAAGAGATGCAGAAACAACAGCAGCAAAAGGATGAACAGGCACAAGGGGTGTCACAGAAGAAGAAGAAGGTCACTGCTGCGCAACTTCGCGTGCAAAAAGGTGAACAACGACGTGAACCACCCGCTCTGGACGGACAATGGCGTCTCTAATCATCTTTCTCTCAGATCTCAGTGAACTGTCACTCGGGTCGACCATGAAGACGACGTTCCCAAACCCCGACGACATCCTAAACTTCACCCTCACAATCGAACCCGATGAAGGAATGTACAAAGGCGGCAGCTTTGTGTTCACCTTCTCCATCAATCAGAACTTCCCACATGATCCACCGAAAGTCAAATGCACGCAGAAGATCTACCATCCGAACATCGATCTAGAGGGAAACGTCTGCTTGAATATTCTAAGAGAAGACTGGAAACCAGTATTGAATCTGAATGCTGTTATTGTCGGCATGCAGGTAAACCATATAATTACGAGATTTGGTATTGTTGAACGTACGTGGCTAACTCGACGGACAGTTCCTTTTCCTGGAGCCGAATGCTTCTGATCCCCTCAATAAGGAGGCAGCTGAAGATCTCAGAAACAACAGAGAAGGGTTCCGGCGCAATGCGCGAACAGCAATGGGGGGCGGATCAGTGAAAGGGCAGACCTACGACCGAGTGTTGCGATGATGTCGATGAGATCTGTGGGGCAGGCATGATGATTGAAATGATTGAACGACAAGCCAAGGACAACGGATTTACATTGCGAGCCTTTTTACAAGCGTTGCGGTCAACGTGTTGGTAAGGCCAGAGGCGTTATTGGGAGTCATATGGCTGATCTGCTGCGCACAGAGTGCTTCTCATGAAGCCAGATGTGATTTCAAGTTTGCCAGCGGACGGCGCCAGGCAAAGACATCTCGAAGCAGCACCGCACGGTTGGAACCGCGCAAGCCTCCAGGTACCTATCCACTAGTTTGCCCTGAACCTTTGCGGGCGGAAATGATTGTCGGAGTCTCTTCTCGCCCCTCAGAAGTCCGCATGAGGTTGCGCTCACCTTGGATAGAGATGATTACCCCAATTCACTCATCCAGTTCCCTCAGTCAACATATTATCCGATTGACTTGATCACTGCTGAGGAACCACCTTGCATCATCGCTCATTCGCAGTCCCGCCATATCTGCAGCTCTCCGTGCGAATGTGACGCCTGCACGTTCCGCTGTGTGATTGAAGAGTTCAATGCGTCGGTCCCACCTGTTCGGTCTGAACTCCTACGCCAGGGGATGAAATTCTGGGATTTCTTAACAATATTCGCCCATCTCCTGGGACCAAACAGGTTTTGAATGAAATGCCCCGTAGTAACAACGCCTCCCAGACCTTAACTGATATTCTTTGTCGCCAAATCCTCCTCTGATATCGCCAGCGGGAATCCACACCCAGGTAATACACCTAGCTAGGGCGTATGACATCTACATTGTCTGTCTACACAACTGGTTAGCCCTTCCACACGTGAGGTCTACCAAGGCTAGTGCATGGGGATTGGATTCCACCTATAAAATACATTCGCCCCGGACACCCTGAGCTGGACCGTTTGCTCTGGACTTGCTATGTCCGAAACTCCCCCCGGATAGGCCTGTCTCGGTCTGTAGGACCCTTGTACGCGTTGGAGTCGGACGAGGGCTTTATGCCTAAGTGTGAGCTGAAAACAACGCAACCTCAAAACAACAGTATTCACTCGGTGCGAGGCTTTTCGCTCGTCTACGCAACTATTCGTGAGTAGTCTGTTTATTTTACTTAAATATCCGTTCCCTCGAAGCTCACTCGCTTTTAGTTGATTCATAGTACAGCCCATCAAGCCAGACGGAAGTGCTACGATTATCAAAGTGTCAGAATTGTCTATGTTGAGATCATGAAGATCATTATCGTTGGCGCTACTGGGTTCGTGGGCAAAGAAGTCGTTGTCCAGTCTATTGAGAACTCCAGAATTTCATCAATCATTGTCGTTACCAGGCGCTGCATTGGCAAAAGTCTGAGTCAAAATCCCAAGGTACAGGTCATTCTGCACGAGGACTTTCATGCCTATCCGGCAGACCTTCTCGAACAACTACTGGGAGCACAAGGCTGTGTTTGGTAGGGGGTTTACACATGAGTCCTATGACTGCTAGGGGAGACTGATCTCATACCCCAGGTGTTTAGGAGGCAAGGTCGAGGACTTTCCCGATCTCGAGACCGCGAAGAAGGTCGGCGTTGATTTCACTTTAGCCGCCCTTCGTGAAAGGGATATGTCCAAGTTTGCAACCGGGACAGAGATTCCGCTTCGTCTTCTGCAGTGCCAATGGGGCAGAGTGGGATCAGGACAAGAGACTCTGGGTATTCTCCGATACCCGAAAATTGAAGGTACGCCGCTCCGTTCCTGGATCGTTGAGCTCGACAGTTCATTAACGCCAAAACAAAGGGGGTCGCCGAACGGCGCTTGTTGGATATCGCCGAGGACAGCCGTGACGTATTTCAGGCGATCGTGCTTCGCCCAGGTGGCGTCGTGCCCGATGGGAGTGTTTTACTCGGAAAGATTGCATCGCTGATGACCCCGGTCGTCCCGTTATCCCAGTTGGCGAAGGCGTTGGTCGAATCTTGTATCAATCCACCATCGGAGAAGGTCATTGAGAATCGGGAAATCCTGCAGCTCGGTTCTTGATGGCAGCAAATGGGCCGTTTCAAGTTCACAGGGGCAACTCCTCGGTAAAGGCTGCTGAGATCGACGTGAAGTGGTCAGGACAACAATGGAAGCAGGATCTTGTTTCTGCACCAATGAGGGGAATATGTTTTTGCTTCTTATCTCAATTGTCCATCTGGAAGCATTCGACACCAAGCGTCTGAAGAAGAGCCGGTGTGAATATATATTCACTCTAATGCAATGAGCTCCATCTCCAAAGTCACGCCTGCTGGCAATCGCTTCGCCTCAATAGCACTCCGCGCGGGCCGCTGAGGGAAGTATTGCCCATAGACCTCATTGAACTCAGCAAAATCATCGAGGTTTGCAAAGAAAACCTGGTAGAGAAAGAAAAACAAAATGGTCTTGCGATTAGCTTTTTCCAAAATGTTTCCACTGATTTGCAAAGACTCTCAATTTTGAGGAAGGAGTATCGAAACTGGGTAAGCTTAAACGTACGGTGACCTTGACGACTTTCTCCAGGCTGGATCCCGCGGCTTCGAGGACCGTTGCGGCGTTGCGGCACAGGGCATGAGCCTTGTCGCCGACCGTGCCTTCGGTCAGCTTGATCTTGCCGTCCTCGAATGTGGCGGGCATTTGGCCCGAGACGAAGATAAAGCCGTTGGCTTTAATGGCTTGGGACTGCGTGAGGTGGAGAGGCGTGTCAGTCAGCCCAGTGCGCCACATTCCTCTCCTCCCTCCCGTCGTCAACCCCTGGCCCTGGAAACTGCTATCTGCGATGCAGCAGCGCGGCGGTCACACTCACATATGGCCCGATGGCTGAAGCGACGGACGGTGGGTGTTAGCTAGCTGTCATTCTTATCCCTGAGGGAAGATTCTGAAGAAATCCCAAGTCGTTATGTACGTACGTGGTATGCCCTTGTCAGTAAAGACACTCTCCATCGTCGCCATTACGCCGGTTCCTTCAGCGTAGACCCTTTAGAGGCGGTGAATCTCCATCGTCCAGACGAGGTGCTTTATCTTATGTGTATCACAGGAAGAAGGTTTGTGATGCCATAGGTGCAGCAGGGCGTACACTAGAGTGAGTAAGCACGCCGGCGATTATGGATCAAGCTTGCCTATGTATTATTACCTCGTACTCCGCCACAGCTTACTTCGGTTAATCCCTCGCCCGCTCGGTCGTTGCCTATTTCCTGCGCCTGGCACCTGGCGCTCAAGCTCTCTCTCCACCAGGACAAACTCCTCACGCAGAAAGGATTGGTATCCAAACATGGTTCACCGACTAGGGAAAGGCTTCGAAGTTGGGTGCCTGTTACGACAACACATGGGCCGGGCCGGGACGAGTCTCGACCCTCGTTTAGCGTGGTGCTAATGGGCGAGGGGGCAACCCAGGGGGTAGCCAGGAGATTGAGGCACATCAAAGAAGAATTTTCTGAACATACCGAGTACACAGTGGCGCCTTCCGCATGGCCCAAGTGCCAGTGTATCTACGTCCTCAGCGTAGCTGCCGGATAAACGAATAACACACATCTCCGTACTGACGTCCTTTACCGCTCGCTCTGACACATGATAGAAACGGCAGGAAAGAAAAATTGTGCCATACACTGGTCCTCACTGCAAATCTGCTAACGGCGACCTCACACGCCTTCTTCTCTCGTGTCTCGATAATGTCGGTTATCCTATCTTGCCTCTCAATCAACATGAAGCCTTTTTCCTTTAGCAAGAGCTCGAAATAAGGCCAACGGCAACCGACTTGGCAACGGTGGAAATGAGAAATCCGCCTTCAGAATATCCGATTGTTGGGCACTATCGCACTCCAAAACAAGCTTAATGGTATGTTAAGCGTTCTAGATCACCGGCTGATTGTCCGACTTTCAATCTTTCAGCCAGGTCACAAGGACACCCGATGAACATCACAAGGAAACCGATGTTGCTTCTGGAAAGTAGCCAAGAAGACATCCACAGATGACGTCTCCATATGGCGTGCGACGAAGCACTAGTATCGATCTAAAACCTCACACCAGATGACGACCAACAGGTTTGACACGAGCTATCTCTGCCCGGCACGCATTATAGCGCTGCAATTTGTGAAGCAATTTCCTATAAGCTGTTTCTGGGCCGGTGGTGAACTTGGAGATGCGAAATCTGGATCGTACCTCCACCGTTGTGTTGAAGGCAACTTGAGCGGACCCCGTCAAAACCCAGTCCTGCCTTACAGCCTTGCCTAAAATAACCTCTTCCTTTCAGCAAAAGACATTGCTGCATCATTATGTGACACCTCACCTCAATAGGTGCCCAACTACATGACCACCGAAGTCGGGGTGTTCAGCCTCGTGTTCATTGTCGAGCGCCCAATGGACGTGAGTCTCAGCCAGCCAATGGTCTGCGGGCGCAATTGCATTCGCATGTCTGTCAATCAACGAGCCCGTTCGGATCATAGAGTCCGCCATCTCCATGGTCTGATTGCCTACGGCGACGGAGGACTGTGGAGTGTTTTCCGCCTTAAAACCCCCTCTTGATCCTCCTTCGACCGTTTACATCACGGCTCCTTCTTTTGAGCCTCGTAATTTCGGGCACTTCCAATTTATGTTGCTCCGACAAACTGGGATCAGTTTCTATTCGCCTCACTGTCGAACGTACAGAAGCTTAGCAAGGAACATCAGATGCAACGGCAGATTCTTTGAATAGCAATAAGAAGCAAGATAATACTGCCACAGATGGAATTAGAAATAATGCTGCCAGCGTTCCCTCTAATGCCTTCCGGCGGGGTGTGAACACTTGTACGACAACGTCGACTGTTTAGACAGAGCAACCACCGTAGCCAGGACTGCTCTGCTCGCAGGCTTCAACGACTTTCAATCATTCGAAGCATCAGAAAAGCTGCTGGAAGCCATAGAGAGGCTGTTTCCTTGGCAATTATTTCTGGAACGCCCAAATTACAACACTTGGAAACAAGAATGTCGAAGAGTTTATGCAGAAATGGTCCAGAATGACTTCCTGGGGCGGAGAACAAGGAGTCCAGACTCTCGAAGTAGTACATCGATGGTGTGACTTGTAGTCTGTCTTGCTACGAGGGGAGCCTCGACAGGGGCGATTTGACACTACATGGGAATACTGTGCATGGAGATCAATTAATCAGACTTTTACCTGGATTCTCGAATCTCTCGGGGCACAAAGGTGCAGGGTAGTGGCTACTTTTCCTGTATCGACTTCGATGGAGGACTGTTTAGGACTTAATAGTGGGTCGAATTTATGGGGAGTCCGTCTGTTCAACAATCGCCTATAGTCATCCTCCTAGCACCATGTCATTGGGGAAGTGGGAGTTTTTGGTCTAACATTTAATTGATGTCTATTTGAAGAGTGATTGCTCTAGCTATCTACCCAGTCCTGGCGCGAGGAAGCGAAGGCATGGCCTCGGGTTGACCGTTCCCTACTGCAGACCATACAATGTCATGTGGTAAGGCGGCTACTCCGCTCCTCAGTCTCCACACTTTTCCTCAGATGTTGTAACAGCTCCGAAGTGAAAGAGCGCTGCTCACGAATGAATGTGCCCCAGTCGGGGTGTTGTATAAGAACAGTTATCATGCAGGCAGCAAATTGAGTGAGCAACGTCCTTAGGTCGTCGCCATCGCTTGTATTTTCGTAGATGTACTGAATCAGCAGGAAAATCTCTGGAACCCGCTCTGGAAACAAGTTGAGAGAGGCCAAGGTGCGCTGCATTTTGTACAGGACCAGAGATCTGAGGGGCTTAACAATGTACCTGTCGCAAAAGACATACAATTTTGCTTGCGCAAGGAAAGTCTCTGTAAAGCTTTCTGAGGGCGTGTAATTCTTGTATGCGTTGAAAACGGGGCCATCCCATTCGGGGCAGGTATTGCAGAACTTGGCCCAATCGATCCCTAGCTTTGAGTTTCGATCAGGGAGATTTGGGACGGCCGCAGTCTCGGCCAGAGTGTTTGTTGTACTATAGGTAGGGTTTCGCAGACTTTTACGCCTCCTTAACCACGAACCTGGCCGGCAAATCTGATCCTTCCAACCTGGGTTGTAGCGCTTGTTGTTGAACGGTGGGCAGAGGTCTTCTGCCAACCTGTTCAGCCTCTCTCCTTTACTGCTCTCGAAGAATTTTTCGGCACACCCGTCAGCATGAGTAGTTGTTGGATGGCTTGAAGTAATTTTGTCGGTGGTCGGATTTTTCAACTGTGTCGATGAAGAGAATTTTGGATCGATGACAATCTTAGGTGGAGGTACTGAAAAGTCCCCTTTGTAGGCATATTCGCAGAAACGCAAAAACGTATCTTCGTCGATGTCGTCCAAAATGGCCCGTCTTTCAATGCTCTCGACCATGTTCCCATTGATCAAGGCGGCGAACACTGGAGAGAGTTGAATGGCCAAATTCGAATGGACATTGTATGCCGTCCGCTCGAGACCCACGAGGAATTGAAAGGTTGGTGAGCGTAGGGACCTATATATTTTCCGGATAAAAGTCAGCTATGTGACACAGAGATCACCGTAATGCTTACTCGCTGAACGAGGGACATTGCATGATCTGTCCAAAACAGCAAAATGTAGGCACAGCGCAAGAATTGATTGTGGTACCACGTCCTCGTTGATTTATTTTTCTAATTTACAAGAAGCGGCCAAGCAATGCTCTCGCGCCCTCATGGTAAGGCTTTTTTCCTACACACTCAAACGGCTAAAATGGCTTCATGGTCTCCTGACCGCTTGTCGAGGGAGTGGTACAACAAACAAATGTAGCAAATAGAGCTGTTTTGGGGCACGCGTGGTATGGACACTTTTCTCTAGATGAAAGTGTTAATATAGTTATGAACAGTCGGATGCACTTACTCCGTAGCGATTCCGGGTACCGGTACATTGTTCATAAAACAGGAAAAATGGGGAGACCAAATTGTGCAGAGCTTGATGGCAAGGCTGGTCCAATTAGGGGGTGGATGAGGATTCAATAGGTGGAGCAGGATGGAGATACTCATAACCTTAAGCGAGTCATGTCGCGGAGGTCTGACCAATGACTATAGCAGTGATTGACTCGCGGCAAACTCTAATTTCTCCGAAGTCAACCTGGTTTCCACCTTGACGCGCTTGCTCTCCCCCATGATTGCTACAAGCCAACATCGCCATGGCCTCATCACTGAGATTGGCATTTCTCCTTTGTGCACCTGGAGCTTCCGGAGCCGGTGCACATATCACACGTGTCATGAACGCCCTGCAGTCTGCGTCCAAACGTCCTCCCTCCCCTGATTCCAAGACGCATAAACGGACCGCCCTGATTCATCAACGGATGCGACAACCCATGGAAAGCGCTTATCAAGATCCCCATCAAGGGCTCTGGACACGCAACCGGGCTCAGGTTGGTTTGATTCAAGTCATGAATAGTCAATATAAGATCGTCTTTGCCTTCGCATGGAGACTTGGAGGGCTGGGCCTTTTCTATCAAACGGCAACTGCACTTTTGTTCCTTTTCCTTTTCATTTATTACATCAGCTCCTGGACCCTACCAGTTGCCCCCTGACACTGTGCCCTCTCAGTTAAACCTCTCAGTTCATTCCTATTTCCATTGTCAACTTGAAATCACAGGTCGTCTTTTAATTTTTCATCTTCCTAGACCTCTGGGACAAGCCCAACCGTACCTTTACTCTTCTCCCATCAGGAGTGACAACCCCGATATGTCTCTTGTGGGAAATTTTGTTTCCAATTACGACAACAGTGCCGGAAGGCAGGGTCCTGGGCTTCCAGGACATTGTCGGAGGGAATCGCAGGTTGACGACTCTCACACCACGTTGCGGACAAAGTCCCAAGATGCCCGTCGGTCCTCAGATATTGAAGATGTGTCATTTCCAAGGCACGGCAGTGGCGAAAAGCGTCGCTCTAGCTCTGTCAGCAAAGACGAAAAACTGCCTGCCGAAAGTTGGGATCAATCCAGAAGTTCAGAGAACGATGAGGGTGACGAGGGTGTCAGATACCTGGCCCGACAGTTCTCACGGACGTCTACAAGGACCGAGAATGCTAATCCTTTCGCTGCCGCACCCGGTTCTTCCCTGGATCCCACTTCTGACAACTTCCAAACCCGGGACTGGATCAAGGCATTATTCAATCTACAATCAAAAGACGATCGGTTTCTTGCCAGAACTGCTGGCGTAGCATTCCGCAATCTCAGCGTACATGGGTTCGGGTCTGCCACCGACTACCAAAAAACAGTCGGCAACGTCCCTTTTCAAGCCGTCGGTTTAGTTCGCAAGTTGATGGGCGTGGGACAACACAGAATCGACATTCTTCGCGGGTTCGACGGACTCGTAAACCATGGAGAAATGCTGGTCGTTCTGGGACCTCCTGGTTCGGGTTGTTCGACTTTCCTCAAGACGCTCGCCGGCGAGACCCACGGTTTCAACGTCGATAAGGATTCATATATCAACTATCAAGGGATCGCTTTTGAGCAGATGCACAAGCACTTCCGCGGTGAGGCAATCTATACCGCCGAACAAGATGTCCATTTCCCTCAGCTGTCTGTCGCTGATACCCTTTACTTTGCCGCTCGTGCGAGAGCACCAAGAAATCGTCCTGGAAACGTCTCAGCACACACCTACGCTTGCCACATGCGAGATGTCATCATGGCTACCTTCGGTATTCGACACACCTTCAACACTCGAGTGGGTAATGACTTCATCCGCGGTGTCAGCGGTGGAGAAAGAAAGCGTGTCAGTATCGCTGAGGCTGCCCTGAACATGTCGCCTCTTCAATGCTGGGATAACAGTACCCGGGGCTTGGATAGTGCTAACGCCATAGAGTTCTGCAAAACCTTACGGTTATCTACCGAAATTCTCAGTGCCACGGCGGCAGTTGCAATCTACCAGGCTCCCCAGGCTGCCTACGACATCTTCGACAAGGTCATTGTACTTTATGAAGGTCAACAGATCTATTTCGGGAGGACCGAAGATGCTAAAGATTACTTCGTTCGCATGGGCTTTCATTGTCCAAAACGTCAGACTACAGCAGACTTCCTGACATCTATGACGAGCTCCGATGAACGAATTGTCCGCGAAGGTTTCGAGCACAAAGCACCGCGGACTCCCGATGAATTTGCAAAGGCGTGGAAAGATAGTCCCGAACGTGCCAAGCTACTCGAAGATATCGAAGAATTTGATAAGAGACATCCTCTTGGTGGAGAGGACTTGGACAAGTTCAAAGAATCCAGAAGATTGCAGCAAGCGAAGCGACAACGTGTGGCGTCACCGTATACTCTGTCTTATGGTCAACAGGTTAGGCTTTGTCTATGGCGTGGGTTTCGCAGGTTGTTCGCAGACCCGAGTCTCACACTGACTTCAATTATCGGCAACAATGTTTTTGCTCTGATCATCGGTTCGATCTTTTACAATCTCGACGGCACAACCAACTCTTTCTACTCACGCGGCGCCCTCCTGTTCTTCGCCATACTTTTGAACGCGTTCAGTTCTGCCTTGGAAATCCTCACTCTTTATGCGCAACGACCTATTGTCGAGAAACATCAACGGTACGCGTTATATCATCCTTCAAGTGAGGCTTTTGCGTCCATGTTGACGGATATGCCTTACAAGATCGCCAATACGATCATCTTCAACGTCACCCTGTATTTCTTGACCAACCTGAGGAGAGAACCTGGGGCATTCTTCTTCTTTCTCCTCATTTCGTTCACCTTGACTCTAGTCATGAGCATGCTATTTCGAACTATCGCCTCTGTCTCTCGAACCCTAAGTCAGGCTCTAGCACCAGCTGCCATTCTCATTCTAGCCATTGTCATCTATACTGGTTTCGCCATTCCGGTTAATTACATGCTCAGCTGGGCGCGTTGGATCAACTACCTTGACCCTGTCGCCTACGGATTCGAAGCCCTCATGATAAATGAGTTCTCTGGACGCAATTTCGACTGCGCCGTATATGTGCCATCGGGTCCGGGATATTCCGATTCGAACCGAGTTTGTTCAACAGTCGGGTCTCGTCCAGGTCAAACATTTGTCAATGGGGATGACTTTATCAACAGCAGTTATAAGTATTATGCTTCCCACAAATGGAGGAATTTTGGCATCTTGATTGCTTTCATGATCGGCTTGTTCCTCACCTACCTGGTGTCGGCTGAAATTGTCCAAGCCAAGAAGTCTAAGGGCGAAGTTCTGGTGTTCCGTCGCGGTCAGGCACCAGCTACATTGAGGATGAAACCTCAAGACGCGGAGACCGGCGACGTAACATCAACCGTAAAGACGGAGAACAATAAAGATTCTAAGGATATGTCGACCGTCATTCAGAGGCAAACTGCAATCTTCCAATGGCGCGATGTTTGCTACGACATTCCACTGAACGGTGGGCGACGTCTCTTGGACCACGTCGACGGCTGGGTCAAGCCTGGCACTCTGACTGCTTTGATGGGTGTGTCTGGAGCTGGAAAGACGACGCTTCTGGATGTCCTTGCTACTCGCGTCACTATGGGAGTTATTACCGGCGAGATGCTAGTCGACGGTCGACAACGAGACGAATCTTTCCAGCGCAAGACCGGCTACGTCCAACAACAAGATCTTCACTTGGAGACCTCGACCGTTAGAGAAGCCCTGAGCTTTAGCGCACTCCTCCGTCAACCCGCACACATCCCACGGCGGGAAAAGCTAGCGTACGTCAACGAGGTCATCAAACTTCTCGAAATGTCCGAATACGCCGATGCCGTCGTCGGGGTTCCGGGCGAAGGTCTCAACGTGGAACAACGTAAACGTCTAACCATTGGTGTAGAGTTGGCAGCCAAACCGGAATTGTTACTGTTCCTAGATGAACCGACTTCTGGCCTCGATTCGCAGACGTCTTGGTCTATATTAGATCTCCTCGAGAAGCTGAAGAAAAACGGACAAGCTATTCTCTGCACGATCCACCAACCATCAGCGATGCTCTTTCAACGCTTTGATCGACTCCTGTTCCTAGCCCAAGGTGGACGTACCGTCTACTTCGGCCCTGTAGGAGAATCCTCTAGAACTCTAATTAACTACTTTGAACGCAACGGCGCCCATCGTTGCCCACCCGACGCGAATCCCGCCGAGTGGATGTTGGAGGTCATCGGAGCTGCACCAGGCTCCCACACCGAGGTCGATTGGGTCGAGACCTGGCGTACGTCGCCGGAATACAGGGGGGTGCAATCCGAACTCTCCCAAATGAAGGCTGAACGTTGCCAACTCGCCCGAGCGACTTCGAACCGGGCTGACAAAGCCAGCTATCGCGAGTTCGCTGCGCCCTTTTATCAGCAGCTTTATGAAGTTCTAAAACGAGTCTTTGAGCAATACTGGCGCACACCTTCTTACATCTACAGCAAATTATCTCTCTGTATCGCTTCTGTGAGCATGCCTCTATCACCGATCGACGTCCCTTCAGCCTGCTGACTCCTCTCTTAGGGTCTCTTTATCGGCTTCTCCTTCTTCAACGCCAAAATAACGCAACAGGGTCTCCAAAACCAGATGTTCGGCATCTTTATGTTGATGACAATCTTCGGCCAGCTTGTGCAGCAAATCATGCCGTTGTTCGTGACGCAACGCTCACTCTATGAAGTCCGCGAACGACCGAGTAAGACATACTCATGGCAGGCGTTTATGATGAGTAACATCATCGTCGAACTTCCTTGGTCTGCATTCTGTGCCCTACTGATCTTTTTCACCTGGTATTATCCAATTGGCCTGTACAACAATGCTGAACCGACCGATACTGTCCGCGAGCGTGGTGCGTTGATGTTCCTCCTTATCTTGACCTTCTTGTTGTTCACGTCGACTTTCGCACACATGGTTATCGCGGCCATCGAGACGGCCGAGACAGGTGGAAATATTGCCAATCTATGCTTCTCACTTACCTTGGTCTTCTGTGGAGTCCTGGTGGGCCCTAAGGCGCTGCCCGGTTTCTGGATTTTCATGTATCGCGTCTCGCCGTTTACGTACTTGATTGACGGCATGCTCAGTACAGCTGTCGCACATGCCAGTGTCACTTGCGCCACCAACGAGTATCTCCATTTCACCGCACCTTCAGGCCAAACTTGCGCAGAGTACATGAGGTCTTACATGGACTCGTTTGGTGGATATCTCCAGAACCCTTTGGGCACAGGCAACTGCAGTTACTGCCAGATATCGACCACCGACGCGTTCTTGGCCAGCGTCTCCTCACATCCGCAGTACATGTGGCGCAACTTCGGACTGATGTGGCCATACATCGCATTTAATGTCATTGGGGCCGTATTCCTGTACTGGCTTGCGCGAGTACCGAAGCATATGAACAGGGGAAAGAAAGAAGTCGCCAGCCCTGGAGAGAGCAAAGAGGGAAGTGTACTAGAGGGACCTGTTGATACTGTCAGTGGGGAAAAGAGAGAGGAGACGGAGACGGAGAAGGACGCAGGTGCAAGCACTGCTCTGCCGATGACCGTGAAGTAGGCCACTCAAATCATGATGAGCTTGCTGGACGACATCAACCAACCCAATGACCTCGACAAATCCCCGCTCTGTTTACTCAGGGGCAGTTGGCACCCCTTTTTGTCTGTTCTTGGAATTCTGGCCCTAAATTTGTCAGAGTAAGTGCCAGAAGATTGTCTGGTGGTACCGCTATTTTAAGCTGATCTCGATATAGTTCTCAATGACCAACCTCTCCCTACATACGACGACCACTAAATTGTCAAAAAGAAAAAAAAAACTTGTACGACTGGGTCTTAAGCCCCCAGTGGGAGACAACGTCTTAATATCTCATCACCCAGAGCACCTAGATTTCATATTATTTGTCTGTCTCTAGAACGTCGGCTTAGATTTCGGGAACTGTCACATCAACCGGACAAGATGGAGTGTATTGAGGCATTTGCCTGGGGTGAGGGGGGCCATTAGATCGATTTTTTTGGTTTCAGGTGTCTGTGTTCGGTGCAAAAGGCTTGATATTTGGTACTTTATGGCAAGTGCTACAAAATGACATCTCGGCGGTACCTGCTGTGGGTGTGTGACTAGTCGCCCTGGGCGCACCAAGGGTGAAGTACGATGGAGCGACAACAGGTCCCTTTGCAGAGTCCAAATGTCTGATTAGAGCATCGCTCAAACTCCGGATTAGCGGCCGGTCCCGCCCAAACAACTGGCTCGAGCGCCTATACTCGTTAATATAGTATAGATCTATATCCCAAACAGCCTGATTTACTTGTACTCCACACCGAGTTCATCGAGAGAGCAGCCAGGCTCTGTGACAGGCGGTCTACTCCAGCTTGGCACAGATGTCGAACATAAGAAACTCGGTCGACAACAAATCGTTACTTCACGATACTGGCGAGTGCAATAGTGGGCACGGGGCGTTCAACTGCCGCAGTGGTTTCGAGCATTGCTCCGGCGTTAATGCAGGCACCAGCAGCAGAACTAACGATTCCGCGAGAGTCTACTGGCCTATCCGTCACAGATATGCATCGTAGGTGCCGATTCGAGATCGAAGATTGCGCTCAGGAATGGACTTTTGGTCAGGACTTGTTTCGACTCTATCCATGTTCCCCCTCTGTACGGTTCGATCGCGGACTGGCCGGGCTGGTGTCGGGAATTTTCATACACACCGGAAACCTGGGGGCTGGTTCGAGCAGGTTGAGAATATGAACTTAGATATTCATTCGTCGCGGGGTGGAAGTATTGCGCCTCGCCTGGCTGACTGTCTATCATCCTCTACAGGGATCTGTTCGCTACGCTTCATCACCATGTATGCGTTGTCTACGCCACTGCACGAGTGCAAAGAGTTTGCAGGAAAGCCACTCCACTCACACTGTATTCGTTTTCGATAAAGGCACTCTTTCCTCGCTCAACCGTGTGAGGATCTCCCATGCCGCGTCTTCCCCGTAGGCTTGAGCCCCTCATGCTTCTTGGACCGAAGCCTTGATACCGCCATGTCGGACGCTTCTCCCTTTTCCGGGTTGTCGTTCATTCCGTTGCGAGCTCTGGGCATAGCATTTGGCGTTGGGGTTCTCTATCTTGTCTGTCTGGCTGTCTATCGCCTATATCTTAGTCCTCTGGCCAAATTCCCCGGACCCCCTCTCACTGCTCTGACACCGTGGTATGAATTTTACTATGATGTCATCAAGGAAGGGAGATATACATGGAAGATACGCGAACTGCATCGTGAATATGGTCAGTATTCAGCGTAGCCTCAGGATCTATCGCATTGGCTAAAACACATCTTCCAGGACCGATAGTGCGGATCAATCCGTATGAACTTCATATTGACGACCCAGAATATTATGATGAAGTCTATACCGGCCCGACGAAGCCTCGTGACAAATGGGCATGGTCTGCGGCCATGTTTGGGAATTCGTCGTCGCACTTTGGAAGCGTGCCGCACAGTTTGCACCGAATGCGACGGGCGCCCTTGAATCCTTTCTTCTCGAAGAAGGCAGTGGCCCGGCTCGAGCCCATGATTCGATCGGTTGTCGAAAAGCTTTGTGCGCGACTGGCGGGCTTTCAGCAGACCAAGGAGCCGGTCAATCTGCGCTATGCCTTTGCGGCGTTGACAATGGACGTCATCACCGACTATGCCTTTGCAAATTGCTACAATTGCCTTGACGAACCCGACTTTGCGCCCGTGTGGCCCGAGGCCGTCGATTCAGTCTCGGAGCAGAGCCATGTCAACAAGCAATTCCCCTGGCTGCTGCCTGTCATGAAGTTAGTACCGCTGTGGCTCGTGGAACGGATAAATCCACACATCATGCGGCTGATCAACTTTCAGATTGTTCGCATCAAATCCGCTTCCTCTGATGGCACAGCTGGCTAATGAGACCACTTTAGGGCTTAACTCAGCAGGTTGCGGAAATCATGAAGGACAAAGACACGAGTAACAAAAATCAAAGTCACCCCACGATATTCCACGAGCTCATCCACACAAGGGAGCTGCCTCCGGAAGAGAAGACACTTGAGCACCTCGTGGACGAAGGGCAATCTGTTGTTGCAGCAGGTCAAGTCACAACCACCCACTACCTGAATACCACGGCATATCACATTCTGGCGAACCTGGATGTCCTTGATAAGCTGAAGGCCGAGCTCGGGGAGGCCATGCCTGATGGAAAATTGCCTTCGTTACAGAAACTCGAGAGGCTTCCTTACCTCACCGCGGTGGTGTACGAGGGCTTTCGAATGTCCTATGGGGTGACACACCGTTTGCAACGAGTCTCTCCTACCGAACCTCTCATTTACCACGACTATGTCATCCCCGCGGGGACGCCAGTGAGCATGACATCGATATTCATGCACGAAAACACGAAGTATTTTCCGGAACCCAAAGTGTTCAAGCCCGAGAGATGGCTGAACCCTGGCTCCCGAGATAGACTGGAGAAGTACCTGGTGAACTTCAGCAAGGGCACCCGGGCGTGTCTGGGGCGACACCTCGCCGAGGCAGAGATCTATCTCACCTTGGCGGCCGTGTTTCGCAGGTTCGACCTGAAGCTATACGAGACTACCCGAGACGATATTGATGTCGCGCACGACTTCTTTAATCCGCAGCCACGGCGGGGGTCGAGAGGTTTGAGGGTGATGGTGAGGGACGTAGCATGATAATTAAGAGAGCTTCCAATGCCTCAAATGTCCCAGAATGGGGACACATTGGACAAGACACGTCTACTTGTAATTGGAGATCCCTATCTGAGCATCACGAGCGAAGTCTGCGGAGTGAAAATGCTGTTGCGGGGCGGGGAGGCTAGAGTGGCTCCGAGGGGTCTGACAGCCTCGCCGTTGTCGGAGCCAAGCAAATCGAGTGCAGTTGGTGCAGCTCCGTGTTGTGAGAAGTGAGAGGTGAGCCGCCCAGCAAAAAATTTCCCCCCAAGGTTCTTATAGCTTCCCAAGTTGTCACGCACCTCTCTTCTCTCTCTTTCCTCCTAGACACATACACATACACACACAGAAATGGCTTCCAAGACCTTTGCGCGCACATTGCGCACTGCCTCCAAGCAGAAAATCAGCACACCTACCGTCCAGAAACGGTCCATCGCTTCTGCGTTGGCGACCAGACCTCTTGTTGCTGCCACGCAGCGCCCTTCGTTCGCAGCTCCTGCCCAGCAGCAAAAGCGAGGTGTCAAGACCATTGATTTTGCTGGCACGAAAGAAACTGTCTATGGTGCGCAGCACACTCTCTTATTGTCAGGGGGGAGATTTTGCTGACAATTCTGCTGTAGAACGGGAAGACTGGCCGCGTGAGAAGCTTCTTGTATGCTGACCCCCCAATCCCAAATGTACTGCCTCCGTTGACCGCACCCCCAGGACTACTTCAAGAACGACACCCTTGCTCTGATCGGCTATGGCTCGCAGGGCCATGGCCAAGGTCTTAACCTCCGAGACAATGGCTTGAACGTCATCATTGGTGTTCGCAAGAATGGCGCCTCGTGGAAAGAGGCGGAACAAGACGGCTGGATCCCAGGCAAGAATCTGTTCGAAGTGGACGAGGCTATCGATCGGGGAACCATTATCATGAACCTGCTCAGTGATGCTGCGCAGAGTGAGACCTGGCCCGCCATCAAGCCAAAGTTGACCAAGGGCAAGGTAAGATCATCGCGGCCTGTGTTCGAGGCCGGGGTTGACGGTGCAAACAGACTCTGTATTTCTCCCACGGCTTCTCCCCCGTCTTCAAAGACCTCACGAAAGTGGACGTCCCCAAGGACATCGACGTCATCCTCGTCGCACCCAAGGGTTCCGGCCGAACCGTTCGAAGCTTGTTCCGTGAGGGCCGGGGCATCAACTCCTCCATCGCCGTCTACCAGGACGTGACTGGCAAGGCTGAAGAGAAGGCCATTGCCCTTGGTGTCGCTATTGGCAGCGGTTACCTGTACAAGACCACCTTTGAGAAAGAAGTCTATTCCGATCTTTATGGTGAACGAGGATGCTTGATGGGCGGTATTCACGGCATGTTCCTGGCCCAATACGAGGTCCTGCGCGAACGTGGACATTCTCCATCCGAGGCATTCAACGAGACCGTCGAGGAAGCCACTCAATCCCTGTATCCACTCATCGGCGCCAATGGCATGGACTGGATGTACGCCGCTTGTTCGACCACCGCCCGCCGCGGTGCGATCGACTGGTCGAGCAAGTTCAAGGACACCCTCAAGCCTCTCTTCAATGAGCTCTACGACAGCGTGAAGAATGGCACAGAGACGAAGCGCAGCTTGGAGTTCAACAGTGCACCTGACTATAGAGAAAAGTACGAGAAGGAGATGCAAGATATCCGGGATTTGGAAATCTGGCGTGCCGGCAAGGCTGTTCGGTTCGTGAATTCACTGCCCCTCTCGCATGTATACGAGGCCGCTCGCTAACGATGATGACAGGGCCCTTCGACCTGAAAACCAGTGATGGGTCTCGGTGCACCAGGTGTTGCTACCCTTTTATGTGGTTTGTTTGGCAATCAAAAGTTGAGCAATGTATCAAATGGCGAGGTCTCTGGATGGGTGAACATGGATCTTGACAGCAATGCGGCCGCCTTGTGGACTTTGGAGATTTAAATGCTCCCATGCCCAATGCTTGCTGGGGGAGTCCGATCTCGGCAGAGCTTCGGACATCTGCACGCTTACCAATTTCGTGCTTTTGGATCGTGGGTTTTCAATGAAGATTTGTTGCGTCGTCAGTTTTCTTTTCCATTGATTCATTCACCCGCCTCTCTTGCCCTACACGCTGTTTCTTGGTTCAGTCTGCTTAGTCGTTTCATCCAATCTTCGGCGTCTGAGACTTGGACCCAAGTTGTTCGAAGTCGATTATATTACACCAATATCGCACGACATTAGGAGGCACAAGCATCGAACACACGCCCAAGTGAAAGATCGGAGATTCAGAACAGTAGGGCAAAGTGACCCCAAAAAAGGCATGGCAGATCCATCAACCTGCCCGCCTCTAACACCCTCCTCCATCAGAGGCGCCTATACAAAGATCCAACCCCACATCCACAAAACCCCCCTTGTAACGAGTAGATCTCTCAATGCCATTGCCTCATCGCGCGACCCGTCTGCTTTTCTATCCGACAACCCACCACCCTTTGGGTCTGCCGAATCCGATGTCAACGACAATGTCGACGCAGGGCAATCGAGCGATGCTCCGCCCAGATTCCGCCTGTATTTCAAGTGTGAGAATTTGCAGAAGATCGGGGCGTTCAAGGCCAGAGGCGCGTTCCACGCCGTGACGAGGCTGATTGAGGAGTTGGGCATTGACGAGGTGAGGAGGAGAGGGGTCGTTACGCACAGTAGTGGTGAGTCTGGTGGTCAGCCAAAAGAAGATGCTCTGACTGCCTTGTAACACCACATCACGCTCAGGCCAGTGCTTCTTACATGGACAAAAGGAAACCACGCTCAGGCGCTGGCGCTAGCGGCCTCCACATTCGCCATTCCCGCTTACATCGTCATGCCCTCGATATCCACCACGTCCAAAATCGCAGGCACCCGTCTGTACACCCCGAACGTCATCTTCAGCGGCTCCACCTCGGACGAGCGCGAAGCCGTTGTCGCAGACGTCGTCAAGGAGAAAGGCGCGATCTTGGTCCCGCCATATGATCATCCCGACATCATTCTAGGCCAGGGCACGGTCGGGTTGGAGATGGAGGAGCAGCTGCGCGAACTCACGGGCACTGGGGAACAGTCGACGGAGGGCGACAAGGCCCGATTTGACGCGGTCATCACCCCCATTGGCGGCGGCGGGCTCCTAGGCGGCACGGCCACGTTCTTCTCTTCCCAGCCCGACACCTTGGTGTTCGGCGCTGAGCCGTCATTCCAGGGCGCCGACGACGGCCGTCGGGGGCTTCTCCAGAACAAAAGAATCGAGCACGTCAAGTCGCTGACCATTGCCGACGGGCTCCGCACGCCCGTCGGCGTGCTCAACTGGACCATCGTCGCGGACAAGTCCCAAGTGGAGGGCCTCTACGCGGTGAGCGAAGAGGAGATCAAGATGACCATGCGGCTCGTGTTTGAGCGGCTCAAGCTCGTCGTGGAGCCGAGTGGCTGCGTGCCGTTGGCGGTGGTGCTGTTCAACACCGAGTTCAGACATATGGTCGCCGAAAGACAGAGACTCTCGAGGGAAAATCACGGAGGAACCAACAAGGCATACTGGGACGTCGGTGTGGTGCTTAGCGGCGGGAATACAACCATGAAGGCGATCGCGACGCTGTACGGCGAGGAAAAAGGGGCAAAGGCGGAAAGAGAGGCGGGAAAAATCAACCTAGACGGGACAAAGAAAGTCGAGGATGTTACTGGATGAAGACGATCCAGGAGATACCTTGTACATAATGAGGATAAAACATACTCCCTATCGAAGTGCCCTATAGACCTCTTCTGTTCTAAAGAGCAGACAGAACAGACCTGTCCATAAGTTTCCTGCGCCGCGCTGGGTAGATTTCAGCTCGTCCGCGCCGCTTTCTGTCAGTCGATCTGTATGTATCCTCCTCCACTCCGCCCAGTGCAACGCGCAAGAGGAGGAAGGGCACTTGAATGATCCATGTACACAGGGGTAACGTGGGGGAATGGTAGTGGGTAAACTATCTGATGACAGTGACGGCAGCTATGAAGGAGGCACTCAAGTGCCAAAGTGCCAAAAGGCCTCACACCGGCCCTGAAGAAAACAAACCCCAAAAAGGAAGCTTCCTTCCCAGCCACACCAAATAAATGAGCCCTCAGAGGAGAAAGAGGTACTCGGTATAGAGAAGGGGAAAAAATCAAGAAAAAGATCACGATGAGAGGAGTGGGGTTCGAACCCACGCATCTTTCGATAGCAGAGAAGTCAAAGATTTAGTGGAAAGACTTAAATCTGCCGCCTTAAACCACTCGGCCATCCTCCCAATTGTAGAAATTAATTTGTTGCTGTCTCGGAGCATAAAATCAACCAAATTTTCGGTTGTATAATATATATCAAAAAAATATGAGCCTCGTTGAATGTGAGGCTGACGGGGGGTGAAAGAGCCAATAACAAGGGAATATGTTACGCTATACATAACTGTACCTGATAGGCGCCTGCCGAGGAACTGGGACAGGACTCGGTACAGGGTACTTTGAGTACTACCAAGGCTACCTATTAAGCCCTGCGAGGCAGCCAAGTCGGTTGCTTCACCCCGTCCTTGACCATTTCTGTCATCCTCCAGCATCCCCATGGAATCATTTACCTGCTCTAACCACCCTCGCCCAACACAGCTACATACCCGTCTTGAAAGTCACATACCATGTTGACCGGCACCTCCACGCCGAGAAAGTATATGCGGTGTCAATCATGGTGGCTCGCGCTTCATCATTCGCTACGGCCGCATAAGGCGAAAAAAGTCTCGTTGGTACTATGTGCTCATCCCTTTCGCGGGGCAAGAGCTCCTAAAGGAGGAAGTTTAACAATCTCGGCCACCTTCATGCGTTGTCCACATGACGGGTGAAACCACAGAAACAGGGCGCTCACTGCAGTCCCAAGACGTCCTTCAGCATGGCCAACGCCCCAAATAACTGACTATCATGGTACTTCCTCGCGACCACCTGCAGATTAATCGGCGCCTTCTCGAAATTCCCTTCCTCCCACAACTGCTTGACATGCGCGCATGCATCGCTCAGCGGCTTATAGTCCTGAGCATACACCTCGCCCTTCTCGGCCTTGATCGGAGTCGGGATAACCACACCGGGGTAGTCGATGAAATTGTACAGGGACGTGTACGTCCAGTAGAAGGCCGTGTCGTGCGCCGAAGCTGGTCCGACGAAGCAAGGCCCAATGACCACGTCCACGTCTTGAGCGTTCCAGTTTTCGGCAAACGCGATACGGAAGGCGTCTCTCTCCCAGCGCATGTTGCTCACGTCGACGCCGGTCTGCATCCCGTGGGGTTCTGCATCCTTCCAGATCCACGACGAGAGCGGGTGGATTGGTTCTCCGGTCTCGCTGATGTGCTCAGCCATCGCCTTCCCCCCATCTGGCCAGTACATGCGACGAATCTTGGCCCACGCTCCGGCGGCGTCGTAGGGCGTAAAGTCCTTGACCTCGAGGATTTCCGAGTACTTCGGGTCAGAAAGGAGCTCTTTTGCCCAGGAAACGGCTCGCTTGACTGGCGGCTGAGGATCGATGAAGCCGTCGTTGCTGATCACGCCGACCTTTAGACGTCCACCGATGGGCGTTTTGAGACCTGTCCAGGGCATGGGCACGATCCTCGGATCTTCGAGATGTGGCTTCGCCGCAATAACGTTGCTCGTGAACAGTTCCATGTCTCTCAGGCTGCGGCACATGGGTCCGATTGAGCATAAAACGTTGAGCTCTGCCGGAAATGGAGCCGCAATCATATCTTTCATGGGCAAGGTATATGACGTGGGTTTGAAGCCGTAGATACCACAGAACGCCGAAGGGCCACGGATGCTGCCTCCAATATCGGTGCCGACGCCCAAAATCGATCCTTTCATCGCTATCAAAGCTGCCTCGCCGCCCGTCGAGCCGCCGGCCGAGAGGTGGATGTTGTAGGGGTTCAGAACTCGGCCCCAGTGCGAGTCGGACTCTAGATGCATCAAGGTTTGAGGTTGGTTCGTTTTACAGTAGAAGACGGCTCCCAGGCTTCGCAGGATCGCCACCAACTGGCTGTCCTTTTCATTTTTAACGATGCTGCCAAAGACGCCCATGGAGGAATAAGTCCCCGCAATGGGCATGTGGTCTTTGATGCTGACCGGCACGCCATGCAGGGGGCCCATGGTCTTGCCGTTCTTGGCCAGATAGTCGTCGAGCGACTTTGCTTGCTCAACGGCTTCGTCCATGAACCACTGGGTCAAGCAGCAGGTCAGTTGATGGGCGACGATGGCGCGCTTGCAAAATGCCTTGGCCACAGCAACAGCCGTGTATTTGCGGCCAGCGATGGCCTCTGCGAGGCTTGTGGCATCGTAGTCCTCGGTGATTTCAATCTCTTCGGGAGTCAAGATGCCAAAGGTGGTCGCAAGTCGCGATACATCCTGCGGAGGGTTCTTGACTACATCCTCCGGGATGTAGTATTCCTGTGGGATCTTTTCATTGAAGGCTCGAAGCAAAGCGGCTCGCTTTGCTTCGTACTCTGGCGTGCCCTCGGGGACAATCTTGGGCTGAATGACGTTGAACGGCCTGGTCACCATCTTGCTTTGGTCTATATCTGAAAAGCTCGAAGACTGGAGATAACAGCCTGGGCCTCGGAGAGCTTTTACGATCACTCTTCTTTTTGCCAGCGGCTCGCAACGATGTGGTCGTCGAGACTCAATTATTCAGTCGATCCTTGACAACCAATCTAGGGCGTTGATCGTGCATCTCCGCTGCGCAAACGCTTCTCGCTGGCCACAGATATCCCCAAGTGGCTTGGGAGGTGCTCGCAGCCCTCGTTCGGGTAAAGCGTCACGCCATAGAATGCATCTCCCCGCAAGGTTTCCCACGATTGTCCCTGCTTGACGGCGGGAGTGTGAGACTCGACCAATCCCTTCCATTTGCGCAATTGATCCGGCTGCTTTGAGACAGGGCTGCAGATAGGCTCCTCAGGCCTCGTCGCAACAGCCCAGCTCTATCATTCGTCCGCCGAGCCCTTCGAGCCATGAACGTTGAGGGACGGTCAGGATGCCGAACAGGATAACATGAGTGGAGTCTTTATCAATTACCGTTCTTGAACGAATCGGAGATTGTCCGTGCTTTCTGGAAATCTTGCCCCTATCAGACGCTTATTATTCTCTGGATCTGCGAAATAATCACGAACTATTCAGGTACTGGGGCACACACAACTACAGAGTCCGTTCCGAACCACAACAAATCCGCGCTTTTTCAACGTAACCGATGGCACATGGCCTTTTGATCACCCTCCAGCTTGCCGATAGTGGCCCCTGGCCATGCTCTGGATAAACGACCGCCACGCAATGGGAAAGCGCCCTTCTCGGCTCCAGGCGGTGGGTGGACATCTCCACCGGCGCCTGGATTTGCTGCCATGGAAAAACGGAGCCTTGTGTTGACGAAGTGACTAGGTTATAAATGGGATGAGAAAGACGACGACAAGCCCCTCCATGGGAAAGCTAGAGTCTTATGTGCAGGTCCGAAGGAAGACAAGGGAAGACATAAGTACTCTGGTTTGCCCTCCCTTTCGCCCTCGCCCATCTCTCCCTTTGACCTCCCCAGGCATTATCGCACTTTTCGAGACAGAGGTTTCAGTTGTAGTATTTGCTACTGCAGGAAAAGTCGCCAAACCATGACCATCCTCACCGAGACCACGCTGGACTCGATCCCCGGCACGGTCCACCTTGTCGACCTGGACCACAGTATGCACACTCGACATGCCAAAGCCGGGGCTGGAGACATCGTCCTCGTTCCCACCCCTTCCAACGACCCTGACGACCCGCTCAACTGGTCTCCGCGAAGGAAGATCCTCTCGACCATCTGCACGAACCTGTGAGTCCTGGTTAATCCTGGCCTAGTCTTCAAGAACCCCTCTCCCTGGAAGGACTGACAAAGACTATTTCAGATACACCTGGTTCACCGGCATGTCGGTGTCCACTGTCTATTCTGTCCTTGTGCCTCTCTCGGCGGCATCTGGCGTCTCTGTCTCGACGCTCAACCAAGGCACCGGGTACATGTTTCTGTTCCTCGGCTGGAGTCTGCTCTTCTGGCAGCCGTTCTCCCTGAGATATGGCAAGCGCATGACCTATTTGATTTCCATTCTCGGATCACTTGTAAGTCGGGAGCGTTCCCAGACATGGCCACTGACAAAATATCCTTTTATATACTAACCTTTGCCGTTCTAGGGCACCAGCATTTGGAGGTAAAATGCATTTCCATTCAACCCGGTCTCTGAAAGTGAATACTGATCACGTGCAGCGCCTATGTGACCAGCAACGGAGAATGGATCGCGAAATGTATCATTCAAGGCTTTTTCAATGCCCCCATCGAAGCTCTGCCCGAGATCTCCGTCACCGATGTGGTATGATTCTTTCAATCTTCCCGGTACCATGGTGATATAATTACCATGCAGAAGCTGACGGCGTTGGACAGTACTTTACCCATCAACGAGGTACTTACATGGGCATCTATGCCTTCACCTTGGCTGGCAGTAATTACTTCACGCCCGTCCTGTGCGGATTCATCGCCGACGGCCAGGGGTGGCGATGGGTGTTTTATTGGCCCGCCATCTTCCTCGCGGCTGTCTTCGTCTTTTTGTTCTTCTTCATGGAGGAGACGAACTACACGCGAAAGACCGCAGGGCTCGTCGTGGAGGTTGACACTCCGCCGCCAGAACCTGCTGCCGGTGGTATAGTGGACACGACGGCGGATAAGGAGAAGAACCCCACGACCGTGCTCTCGACCGACGGTTCGCGGACGATCGAAGAATACGGCCCGCCCAAGACGTTCGTTCAGAAACTGGCGCTCTGGAACCCGCACCCAGGCCAGCCCATGCTGCAGCGCGCGTTCCGCAGCCTGCAGTACCTAACCTGGCCCGTCATCTTCTACGCGGGCTTCTCGTACGGGTCGTACCTGATCTGGTTCAACGTGCTCAATGCGACGGCCTCGATCATCCTGGGCGGACCGCCGTACAACTTCAAGCCGTCTATGGTCGGCCTGTCATATCTGTCGTGCACCCTCGGCGTCATTTTGGGCTGCCTCATCTCCGGCAGACTGAGCGACTGGCTGACCATCAAGCTCGCCCGTCGGAACAATGGCATCATGGAGGCCGAGCAGCGCCTATGGCCCTTCATCCTCTGCGTCCTGCTCGTCCCCGGATCCTTAATCTTGTGGGGCGTGGGCGCCGCGCACGGGGTCCATTGGTTTGGCCTGGTCTTCGCAATGGGTTCATTGGCTTTTGCCACGACGTTTGGAGTCACGCTCAGCGTC